ACGGAAATTTCTGAAAATGTACGAACAGCCACGCTGCAACGACAGAATTAATATTGAAATTAATTTCCGTGGAACTTGGCGAGAACGCGACATCCAGCGAGGAAAAGTTAATTATTCACGTTTCTGTTGCGCCGGGAATCCGCTCTTCCTCGAAGTTCTCAACATTGATTAAGATAATAGCAACTTTTAATGAATGTCTGATGAGACCAAGATTTAAAAAAAACTTCCCCGCCAGCCGCAGTTACACGTTTCAGCCGCGTGACGATCATTCTTTATTGTCTCGGAGTGTTCTGTACGACTTGTAGCTATTTTTCAACGTGACTCGAGAATTCCTTTGGAATCGTTTGAGACCAGTTTTGAATTTGAATTTCATTGGATTTGAGTTCGACGAATGCGTGGGATCTGCGAGAGGGAAATAGTAGGATTCGTTGAATAATAAACAGAGATATAGTAATTATACGTGTATAACGTATTACACATATTAATTAAAATTATTTCTTAAATTACATTATGTTGGAATATATTACAAATGTATGTATTACTTTTATATACTACACATTTTGTAATATATTCATATTAATAGAAACAATAATGCAAGTTGCTTTGAATAAAATATTTATAAAATTATGTTTCTCCAAGCTTGGAGCTCCACGTCTGTTATTCAAATCTTGATTCAATGTTTAAGAAGTTTTATTTCTATTTAAAAAATGTACAAGTGACTATGTAATTGTATTTACTGTGAGTCAGTGGTGGATTATGTATAGTAAATAGTATTGTAAATATTTAAAGATAAATAAGGAATTCTCATATTTCGTGGTCCGTCGTCGCGAATTTACCGAGTGCCCGAATTGTCACGGCCCTGATTGCTATTTTTGCTATCGTCCGCGCGTTATTTATAACAACAGACTTATTTCACCGCTGACACGACTTCTATCTGTCGCGAAGCTTCAAACCTTCGGATTGACGTTGGAAGCACGCTGCGTTGTAATCGTCCATGCAGTTTCTTTATTCTGGTTTGGTTGCGATCTCAAAAATTACACTAAATCCTATTTGCTTCGATATAGTAACTTTCACCTATCGCCTTGAGAAAATTTGTTGCCGTGAACTTTTTACATTCTGAATTGAAGTATATTTATTTTACGTTGTACGTATCCTTCTATTCTAAATTATATTTTCTGTTTTAACTATTTAATAAAAATTCTAATTATTGTACGAGTGCAAAAGACTGTTTCATGTCTTATCTGTTCGGACATTTTGAACAAGTTTTCGAAGATTTAGGTTTCCATGTTATCGAGCTCGAAAGAAAATGCCAAACATTACTCTTATTCTAGTAGTTTCGCGAAACTACAGATTCTCTTTACTCGAATAATTTAAGAAAACATACAGAACTCTCCTTCAAGTATATCGAATAGATTTCAAATCGAATGTCTACTATTTCCACATACCTCGCCATCGTTTCAAATTTATATACTTCTCGAACGATGTCTCTCGTCATTTATTACATCTCTCTGTTGAATTTGGCATATCGTTTCACCCATCTATAGATCGAGAAAATATTTGCTTTTCCAAGATAGTTTCGGAACGCGAAAGCGGAAAACATTTAATAACAGCTCGTCTAGGCCTTGGGAAATGACGTATTCCAATTCAAATACGAGCACACCACGCCATCTCAATTTCATTTCTACAAACCAGCACCGTGTTCGGTGCGGGGCGCGTATTCGAATATTTCTTTGTCGAATTCTTCCAAATTCGCAGCGATCGCGGGATATCGCGATATCTTCAGGTACAGTGATTGAAAACTTTGATCAAAATGCATGCGCCTATTGTTCGGACGCAGACCAAACAAAGAACAAGAGGAAAAATCGATGCCGCCTTCGGATCTCGTCATCGCAGTTAATTTTGGTAAAAGCCTGCTCTCAAAGGCGGTTTCCTGCTTCTCTACGAGTCGCGCATAAATCGTTTCGACTTTTTATTGTACTTGTCGCGGGGAATCGTTCTCTCGTCGCTTCTCTAATTACCGTTGAGTTTCCAAACGTCTCGTGGCGGGGAGGCTTTAATCACTATCAGTGAATATAAACATTCAGCGAATGTGTGAAATAACTGAGCAATGAAATGTACAGGGCGAGAGTTGACAAATGAGTGTTGCAATCGTTTCGTCGTATGATTTTGAATTTTCTCTGTATAGAGTCGTAGACAATTCATTGCATCAAACGAGAACAGTATATTTATGAATATTCTTCATAGTTAAAGAGTTGTTTAATATATTTCTCAGAGTTATTTCTAGAACTCTTTAATATATTTATATTTAATATATTAGGGGGGCCGAAAAGTAATGTCATTTCTTTTACATTAAATTAAAACAAATACATTCTTAATAAATTTCTATTTTTAATCAATTATGTATCATCCTCGTTATCGACGATCTTTTGCCATTTAGTGTGCAAATTTTCAATGTTGGAAAAATTGATGAGCTGAATATTCCTTATAGCGGTATTATATTGTAATATCCAAAAGTAAAAATAATACTTTATAGAGGTTTTCCATACGAATGCTTCACGATCGTGATTCTATTTTAAAATAAGTTACATTCGAAGGGGTTAACGAGCTCCTCGTTCGTTGAACGACGCAGCGATCGTAAGAATCCAGCTGGTGCATGTTCAGCTGCCATTGAGTGCAGTGTATGTAATACAGTTGTACTTTAAAAAACGAGCTTTATCTACCGTGCTGTCAGGCTTAACCACATCCGTGCGTTTACGGTAGTTTGTGGTTTCGTGTCCCGTCCACCTACACTTTCGATAACATCTCGGGGTCTCGCCACTTACTTTTTATTTCTGTAGCTTTCCTATCGATTGCGCTATTGTCCAATGCTCGCGCAGATTGTACTTTCGCCATGCTCTTAAATCACTCGAAGAGCTGACTTTGAAACTATACAATATTGGCTCTCAATTGTGTCCACAATATCAAGCTTATTTATCGAGCATTTTCATGTTTATCAGACTTTACTAGTTCTATTGACCTTTCTAAAAAATACATAACTTGAACTAGGTTTTCTCCTGTTAAAGAGATTTTTTTTTTTTCTTTGGACAGCTTTGAGGAAATATTTATGGTTTTCTTGCAACCACAGTATTCAATTCGGTAGAAATATTTTAATGACATCAAGCAACAAGGATATTAAAAAAAAGGAGTATCCCTTTAAATTATTATGTCAGTTAGCTCGTTCAACATGCTTGGGTTTGTCAAGTAAGAAGATTGCATCGATCCCACCCACGTTGCATCACGGATTCCCCAGAAAGTCTATGCGACGTTAATGCGAGAACAATGCGTCATCACTGTAATTCAGAAAACTGACCCAAGGTTCCGTCGAACCGTTGGATCTATTCACAAATGCACGACAACATGGTCTCGCAATACGTCGGTCCCTATTCAAGACCAAGAAACGCTTCGAGGGCTCCGAGGGTTAATTACAATTTGGAGCGTTCCTGTGTATAAATCAACGTGAATGCGAGTTCACGGCAATTGTACCTGGTAACTCTGTGCCTGAATAATAGCGAAGACGTCACGTCCGCGTTGTACATCCAGTTGCTTTGCAAGTTTTAAGCGTGTCGTGGATTTAAATGTCAACGTATATAAAAAATAAAAGAGAAACAAAATTGTAAGTCGGAGAATTAACTTTGGTTAGTTCTGGCTCACTTGTGACCTATGATTAGGCTATAATATATGGATTGGAATGAGAATTGTTTCAATTTTGTACACCATTTTTCGGAATATATTCTATGTATATGTTTGATGTATTCTATGTAATTAATATAGACAATTATTTTAATTTTGTGCATTATTTTTCAGAATATATTCTATGTAATGTCGAGTACATGACGTTATTCTATGCATCTTATGATACATATGTTACATGAAATATATTCTGAAAAATGGTGTATGAAATTGAGACAGTAATATACATGTAGTATATAGCTATTGTTTCACATAAAATGCTTGCTTTTCAAAGTCATTTTCTGCAGGCAATTTTATATCACACGAGATTTAGGAACTCCTCGTAAATTTTAATATCATAGCTCGTACTTCTGTCTTTCGGCCAATAAACACACAATTGACAACGTGGTTACTGTTCGTATCGAATGAAATCGCTTTGAATATTAGCGAGCTTTCTATGACGATTTGTAGCTATTATACTCTCGGTCACTATCATCGGAAACTTCATTACGTGGTTATTCATATCAATGGTCATTCATCTCGCACCTTACGGATCCCCTAATCGTTAATAACATCAGGACTTAATTATCCACCCATCACGCATTGGCAGACCAATAATCATCAATCCAACAATACGCTCCGACCCAGGTTCACCCGGTGTTCGCGTCCGGTCCGTAATATGCTAGACCCAATGAGCCATAAATTCCTCTATGCGATCGAAAATTATCGTTTAATCATCCCGCGCACGCTAAAACTTTTGTCCGCGTTCTGTTCGTTCGAAAGGTATGCCTTTGGTGCGGCGTACTGTGTTCGGAAATTTCACGAGGCTGGACAAATTGTTATATTTGATATTTCTAATTCATTTCTGTTCGTTTATAAGTGTCTCAGAGATCAAGGGACGCGTATGTGATATTTTCTAATCTTTGGAAGTAATCTTTCGGAAGTAGTCTCGTTTTCTATGTGTTCAAAATACATATACCAAGACCTACGCAATGGTCCAATACTTCAAATAGCTATACCCAACGATCACGAAACTAGATTGTTATTTTTCGAATCTTCTACACACAAATGACGTTTCGTCAACATATTCGAAACTACAACGAACAATCTGCACGGCGTGACAATAAACCTTCTCGCTAATTGAAATGCCTAAATAAATACAATACAGAGCTTAATCTGGATTTAAACGTCAAAAAATCATTTTAGGTGGTTTTTGGGGAATTTTTGGTCACCAGTGGTCGAAAGTTCCCAAGCGCAAGTCGGCCGAAATTATCGTTCTCATTTGTCAACAGGCGGACGAGGAATTGCTGGAACACGAGGCGGAGGCAATCAGGACCCTCGAGATCCAAGCGTAAGTGGAGCGTTTATAATCCACAATTTTTTTTTCCCCACCAAAGCTCGGGTGTGTGTGCTCGCGAGAAAAAACGTTCCGCGCTATTATTTATTTACATAGACCAAGGAGGACGGGTGTGTTATCAGAGAGCGGTACGCGCAAACGTAAAAGCACCGTGGCGCATAAATCGCCACGGTTTAGTTACGTATTCATGAATCTCGAAATTCGCCGGCTAGAAAAACCCCGTCGAGAGGGAAAAGTGATCCCCGCGAGCTCGCGCAGGCACGCACACGTCTCGTGAATCCGATCTCGAAATAGTTTGATGATCGCCGATCCGTAATTTTAGTCCAAGGTGTAGGTTGAATGACGCGTGATTCGAGGCTGCCAGGGAAACGGAGATTACGACGATGTCTCGAGAATTTTTGAACGGAGTCGATCGATTTATTCCAGTGATTGCGAGATTCGGTTGATTCGAGGCTCTGAGTTTCTACGTGCAATGGTTGATTACAGTGGTTGACTGACGCTTAGTTTCTTACAATTGAAACTATTAAGGAATGTAACGAGTTTGCACCAGTATGATATTTATTATAAACTTCAGCAGTATAGGAAATCTTAGAGCGAGTGTTTTCCAAGCCATGACCTCTTCATGAAACCGAAGTAATTCTGAATAAAGTGATTCTAGATATAAAAGATTCAAGATCATTACAATTTAAGTTGGTTGAATGGCTAGAGAACTCGAGCTTTGGAATAAATATTTAGTAGTACATAAAAGTTAAACGAATTTTTTAAAAATTGAGAATGAATAATGTTTAATAATGTTGATGTCATTGGTTCGATGATTTGATTCTCTCTGTACATGTTGTAAATGCGATTGGACGTGCTGGTGGACTATTACCACGGACTCGAATAACTTCGGTGTCACGGAAGCGTGTACACGTCGAAAATTATAAGAAATATGGCGAATATTAGGAAAACATATACACGTCCATTATATGTATAATGCATCATTCACGTGTTATATATTTTCACGCGAGTGGATCGAATGCGAACGAAGTTTTTTCATGAATTTATCGGTCTAATATTTCTACGCATTAACAAAGAGTTATTTTTCTACACGTCGTCCATTATCTTCTGCACACATTTGTCAGAGAATTGGCAGTTTTTAATGTTGGTACCCGCGAGCATTCAGGATGTGTGGGAGGATTCCCAAAGCATCGGTTGCCTTTCCTTAAAAGATATATTTATAAAATAATTCTTGAAACTGACAGTTCAGAAATTTTAGACCGTTAAAATCTCACCTGGAATATTTCAAGAAATTTACAATCTTATATTACAAGAAATTTTACCACGTGTCAAATTGGACCCATCCTGCGTGGGAGGGTTCTTGAACCATAGGTCGTTTTTCTCTGCTTCGTAAATAGCGTTTACAGAAAGATAGGCGTCGGACGTAATGAAATAATAAACAGCGCGCGAAGGCGTGCCAGAATGCTTCGTATGCTTTTGTCGTATTAACTTTGATCTCCGTCATGTCTTTCAACGATTTCTCGTCGAGTTATCCTGTCCGTGGGGTAAGTCGGTCGTGGAACAGCGTCGGAGACTTGGACGCGTTACGATGAACTTATGTGAGCCAACAAGGCCATAGTTCTCATAAATAGGCATGCAGAATGGCTAAGACTCCCTCATGGCTCGCATTTCACACGAAATTGGACAGTTTTCGGTGCACTTAGTTAAGGAAATCTCTATTTAAACCTTTATGTCTGCATTCGAGGCACGCGTTTGCTGGTTTCATAATTTTAATTTAGAATTTTTGATGAAACGAAGTTGAATTTCAACAGCTTTAATTAGGATTTCCAGTGAATTATATTGTTTGTCAGTCGAGGTACTTGTTCCTTTTGTAAGAGACATTTATTTTTATTTGCTAAATATTTTATTCAAATATTTACATTCGCGAATACAACAAGATAGAGTATATTATTAACTTTATTATTGGCCTGTCCACGAGAAAGCCTTCGGATATCCACCACCCACCCACGACTAACCGCGAACGTGTGTATGACTTACTTATTCCATTTTTGACACGTTTCCAATAACTGTCGTATATTCTCATGCATATCTCCGCATGTGTCTGTAATTTCGAGTCATTTTTCTTCATTAACTATGCAGCAGCTGGACACGTTTTAGCGACACATTCAGAGGAAAGAAAATAAAAGAAATTTCCGTTTATTATGTTGAACTCGCTCAATAAAACTGGCGCGAAATAAATGTAAATTTGTTTAGCATCGAAGAGGAGAAGCTGAATAATTAAATAATTAAATAATTACTCTCGTTTGCTCCAAGGCGAGAAAAATTACATTTATTTCGCATTCATAATACAGAAGTCCTGAGCTTCGTTTTCTCCTCTGTTCATTAGCTGCCATTGTGCTCGAAATTCGGTGGGCACGAGCTTACAATTATATCTCGCCATTGCACCATAATTATGACAAGGCTATAATGGCATTCTGATCTCATTTATTTACTCACCATTGTATTTTACTTAACGAGCGCGATAAGGGCCTGTCATTGTTATCATTAATACCACTGGGTAACTGTGCTATAACTCCAATACCTTTCGGACCTGTATATTTATTATAATTACCAGATTTCGGGCTCCTTTTAATTCACTATCACCGAACAAAGCTAATACAAGTTATTTTAATGCTTGTCTTTAGCTTATCAAATAAAATAAAATTCGGGACTTTAATTTCGTTGATTAAACATAAATAAATATTCAGCAAAAATGTATGTATGTAACAACGAAAAGCGTGATAATTCCACATTCATCCAACAAAAGAGCTCATTAATTTTGAAATTCATTGAACTTTGTTGAAGTTTTGAATTAATTAATCAGATCCCGTCTCGTCTCGTGCGCATCACTACGAGCAAGCAAGAAATAATTTCTATTTCGCTACGTGAAATAAAATTCATGCGAGAATTAAAGGGAAGTATAATGTTCTTTCATAGGAAAACATTTACCTACCACCCCTATTCTTGATTGTCTGATGATTAACGAGCAATAGAAGCAACCCACCAGTATTAGTTTTTAATTAAGCGATGAATATATCTATGAATGAATTGTATATATGATTTCATTTTGGAAAAATGAAATAAAATTCATGTAGAAGGTCAATACTGTCCAACTATGCGCACGACTTCTCCCTTCGTAGCCTTATCGCGAGTCTTTAAAAAATTCTGAATAACGTCACAATGGCCGCTCGCAGCGTACCAGTTTCCTGTTTCTGAATATTTTCGCTCATAACAGACAACAACGGGAACGAAGTAGTACCACGTCGTTCTGACGTAACGCCACTCGGCAACGAAGGCGGAATTAAAAGCCGAGGGTAAATAAGCGCGTTTCGCGAAACGGCATCGTAGTCTCTTTATTTTTAATTGCACGAGTACGCTCCAGCCTGTTCTTTCCGCAAGCCGCCGGGTTGCAGCTTAAACAAACATCGTCCGTTTGAACTTTCCATAGAACATCGTGACGTCTCTCGTTTTCGCCGTTTCGCATAATCGCGTAAACTGCCAGCTCACGATCACGAAGGTTTAATGTTCGTAAAACTTCAATTCAAGGCTATATATTATGATAAATATTTACCTGACACTGAAGAACATAAATTGCTTCGATATTTAGTTTCACGGCCATATCTTCTCTCCCTTTTAAATAAATGCTAACCTTACCTTAGAAAGGCACAGAATGAATTCCTGCATCAAATAAAATTTCACAAAACATTATAATACAGATTTACATCTCCCATGTAGTAGATTTGCTTCAACATCCTTTCACAGACCGAACACGTCGAATTTCGTGCCCCAATTCCGTTTACTATAGGAGCTGCGCATTCGTGCCAGTGATAAATACACTTGCATCCTCGAACTTCATGATCCTCGAGATCATGATGCGTTGATATCGCTCGGCAGCATTTCCCTACGCGAGATAGAATAATAATGTAGGGCACGAGTATTTCCCTGGCGAGTCGAACAACGAAAAACTCGGTTCGATCTGGGAGCGCCACCGCAGAGAAATTGAAATGACCGTAAATGTCGAAATGCCAGGAAGGTGGTGAGATCCATGGAGCGGTTGTACGCTGTGCCGTCGGAAAAGCTGCGCGTATGGTCGATTTGGCTCGCGAAGATCGGAGAAATCGCCGACCAATGGCAGAGGTGGTTACGAGCTCGCATCGATCTCGTCGTAAGGATCGCCGAACATTTGGAAGTGGCCGAGGACGCCATACGTCGGGACGAGGAGGTGAGTTCTACTTTATGTAACGACTGCTAAGTGGCTGTTCCATTCTTAGATATTTACGTTCCCCCCTGGAGTAAGGAATGGGAAATTCGTGCGATTACAGGAGCTTTTTTAATGGGCGATCGAAGAATAAACTGTTGATGTCAACGCAAATACGTTCCTTTAGGCGAACTAGGAAAATCTCGAAATTTGACTGTTAAATTAGGGAACTTCGTGCGAAAATTAAGTATCAACAATTTTCTAAATAAAATTATGTAAATATATATTCTTATGCGACTTTCGACGCTGAATTCAATAGTGTGAAACGGAATTTGGAAGAAAAGTTGTTCATACCATTTGTAAAAAACACAATTACATCACAAAATCCACGAAAATGAAGAACTAAACATTCTAAGATTTATTAGAACCGTCGAAATATTAATAGGGATTACTATGTAACATCTCAAAGGATAACCTTTTTTTAAATTTTTCACTTTCATTGTATCTCATTATACATTCTATCTTATTATATTAACACGTTGACTGCCAGACTGCTACACGTGGAAATTCCAACAGAACTAACATTTTTGTTTTTGGCAACTAGAAAATGTGCAGTCTAACATTTATCGTATTACTTATTTTTGTATTCTCGTTAAAATACTATTCAGATTTATTTTCGTTTGTCATTGCTCAAGCAATGTCAGAGGCGTATCGAAATGTCAACTTATCGCGGTCGCATCATCGACGAGAGCTCGCGCGCGTGTCGTTCCGTCTGAATATCGCTTTTCGATCATTTCGTAGCGCGTTTGAAGATAACGTTTGCCGCTCCCGCGGATGCAGCTCTCGCGGACCGCTTTTCCGCAGCACGCGACCGTTAACAAAAGCTTCCTAACAATGCTCGCGCGATACGCGTTACGAGCCACCGTAAATATCTTACAGTCGTAAAAGCATACCTGTCCCGAATGGCAGCGCAGACGGCGTCTCTCTATGCCTGGGAACGCCTGAAATTTCACTGCAAATTACAAGTTCAGCTGTGACGTTCCTATTAAAGCTTGACGAGATGACAGTCGAGATGACGCTTGCAAGAATCGAGGTGCTCATACCAGGAGGCGACGTAAAACACGATTTCGCATTTCCTATTATGAACGAGACATTTTTCGATAAATAATGCACCTGCATTTTTATTTCTTTCAAAATAAAAATAAATAAGTTTGTATTTCAACCAACTGACACGCGTTGACGAGCACTAAATCGGTTGCTATCACGGCGATTAATCTTAATATTGGATTGTGTGGAATGTTTACATCGAAATTCTTATTTTTAATTTTCAAATTCAACCCCAAATAACCTCGATTAGCGACATGACAATCACAAAAGTAGCCAGAACTGGACGAGCTGTGCTCGACGAAGTACATCGAAGTTGTTCGATTAATCTTCCGCATCAAGGTCGACTGGCGCCGCTTAATGACGACGCCATGCGTCGTGCGGTTGACATTCTCACCGTGACGCCACTTTCTTTCCTTCTCACTTTCTTTTTAAATCTATTTTCCGTGTAGTAAGTCACTCACGCCGTGGCGGAGGTGGTGGATTAAAACCCTCCCTTTAACATTCGTATATTTTATTATATTCGTACTCGATGTATATATTCTTAAAAATATTTACGAAATTTCAAGTCTCGTTCAATTTTCATATTCCTATTTCACATTCATATTTTTATTTCAATTTTAAACTATAGGTTATAATTTCTTTCATTCAGGTCCAAATTCCAATGTCCGAACTCTGCAGCCACTAGTAGATTTTTGTAGATTGCGTTTTTCTGTGTCTTTTTATTTTTACTCATAGTAAGTTGCGTATGGGGGTGCACAGTGGCGATTAGGAGAAATTCAAACCACCCCTCCCCCCCTCTCAATAACATATTTATTTTAACTCTATATTTTCCCAAGTGTCTTTTAAAAACTTCTCAAAATTTAATAAACTTCCAAAATTTGAAGTATTGTTCATCCGGATTTGTGAAGGAATTTCGTTCGATTTGAACCCAGTAGTTACAGTCACGATACTGCAAAGCAGTTTATTACTTTTCATTTTCCTTCCACTTTCATTTCTATTTTATTGCCAGCAGCCTGCAGCAGCCGGCTTCAGACTTTTGCAGATTGCACTTTTCCGTCTTCCTTTTATTTTTCCGCGTAGTAAGTCACTCATAGGGGGACGCACAGTGGCGAGGAGAGATTTAAACCGCCCCCTCGTCACTGAACTATGCGGGTGTCGCGTATAAATCTTCGGTAGCGGACTGAAACATACTGGTAGGCAGCTTCCCCTTGTCCGACACCTGAGCTGCTCCGCGATACAATGAAACACGCTGCTCCCCGGTGTTCAAGGTTAACCAAACGGATGCTGCGGAACAACGGCTATTCTCAGCCACCCGTGTAAATCATGTTTCGCGAGTATCGGCGCTGTGCGAACTTGATAGCGGGGAAACTTCCGCGAATTAAGTTTCTCGGGTTAGAAACAGCGGGGAGACTTCGATGCCTCGGAGATTAAGTTTCTTCGATGGCGAGGGAAATTGGAAAAATTGTGGTAGCCAAGGAGATTAGTTTCCCCGTGGCTGGGGAAAGCGAAACCCTCGAACAGCGAACGAATAAAATTTCCTTCGACAAACTTCTGTATCGCGTTACGGTGCAACCTTCTCTATCCGTATTAACGGGGATTCGACGCTGTTTTCGAATAAAGGAACAGTCACTTTCCTAAGATGAATTTTGCCAAGTGATACGCTGTAAAACTACCTTCCAAAATTATGTATTGGAGCGTCCAGAAAGTTCGTGTCAATTTTTAAGAAAAGTTCGAAGGCATATTTGAATTTTAACCCTTTGCATTCGAGGGCTTTTTTCTAGTATCTACAAGGGACCCGAGATGCTTTCCTAGCATTCTATTGCCACGAATGCTTAGGCTATCGAGATTTGAGAATCAGGTCACCTTTACCTCGCCGACAATCATTTTATTAACACTTCGAGTTCCAAAGAAATTAAACCTAAAGAAACATTATTGCTGATATATTTGCTGCGTGAAACCTAATGGTCACTGAGAGTCACCTCTTGAGTGCAAAGGGTTAATATACAGTCAGTCTCCTAAGTATTCGTACCCTCTATATCTATCAAAGAAAGTTATCTAAATGTTAAGTATCGGAACACACTAACAGAACATTAACTTAATCACCGTTTATTTACCACATAATATAAAATACATACTAAGTGGGCAGCCGTGACGTCGTAACCACGTGTCTCCGGACAGTACATGACACTAAATTAATATGAAGATTATACATTCAATATCCAAAATAATATGTGCGTCTACTATAATAATTTAAGACGCTGAATCAAATACATTTTCTTATTTATCACTATCTCTCACGAAATTATAATAAAAATTTATATTTTCTTTACGAGGACACCATAGTATTTATTAAAAGAGGTTCCTACCGTAAATATCTCAGCCTACGTTGGCGTCATACAAAAATTCACGCTCGACTTCCCATGTAAATCCACTACACTAGTCAGTTTCGAAAATTTTGCAGTGGAACAGGTGTTGGTAGCATCCAGCCGCGACTACGCGAGCGTAATCGAAAGAGAGTGTTTACCGCGGGTTCTGCACTGTCGACGTACTGATTTATGCACTCCACGCAATGGCTGCAGTCTCACGTTTCTCCCGCGAACTCGTCCGTCCGTTAAGCGACGCAAATTTAATTTTAATTTTAATATGCATTAATCGCTCACTGGTCTGTTTGCGAACGTCAAACTTCTCGACCCTTCGTTTTCCAAAACTTCGACGTTTTCTTTCTGTCGTGTGTCGGGTAAACTACGCGTCCCTGTCTCTGGTATACGAAACGTGGTTACATTCTTGGGAAGTTAGGAAGCCTTTAAACCTGCATTTCATGAATTTTATTGTATCTCTTGATGGGAAGAGATGATTTTTAGGGAGATCAACTAATATTGACATTGATCCAGTCGTTGAATTAATTCATCATATTAATATGGTTGTTTATGGTTTAATAACATTGTACTTTTTATTTTTAGTGAATTATACGCTATTTTCTTATATTAAGTTCTATTGAAGTATCGAATTATTTATTATTTATTATTTTATTGAAATATTTCGATAAGAAAATAGCATTTAATGACATACAAACAGTATATTCTGCTATTCATAAAAATAATAGTTTATCTTCAGTGCAAAGAGAAGGCGTCGAATAAAAAATATTAATACAAACATAAAATACGAATAAATATTATTCATACACCTCAATTCTAAATATCGAATCGTCATTCAAGTATATTGTAAAAATAATGCATCAATTATAAAACAATCTCTCCTCGAACCTCTCACCATCCCTTAAATTTAATATTCATAATATAAAAACAGGTAAAATTATTTAAATTCTACCCTTCTCTACAACCTTCTCAGTTTTCAATTTATCCTTTCTACTTGCTCCCCTTTCGCAGACTAACCGACATACTTCGACCGCCCTAATTATTTTCGCCGCCGGCCCCCCAAAAAATACAACTCCGGTGGAAAAATGACGAAGAAGACCGACGCTAATGGTTCCCTCTTTTTGTTTCCAGAAAGGAGATAAGCCGAGCAAAGTTTCCAGCCGGTCGGAGCAGCCCGCGGCCGTGCTCGTCGATTCTCCAGGTGAGGGAAGCGTAATTTCGTTCGAAGCGGTCATTCTTCCCCGGTTCCCGGCTTACCGGGGGTTTGTTTACGTCCGGCAGCGCACATAAACCAAGAGAAAGGGGGCGGGCGACGGTAACAAAAGAGTAATTTTGGTAGAAGCCACGCCGTAGACGCCACTGTGTAGCACTTATCGCAAAATAAATCTGAAAGTATGGCCATTGTTGCTCGGCCGGCCTCGCGCTATCACGTAGTGCTTTTACGTTGCCCTAAACAGATTTTATGACATCGCGAATCATAGCCCGTTAGCTGTGCCCGCGTGAGAAACGCGTTTTAGGGAGGTGCCCGGGGGTATTTTTTGGCTTATCTCAGAATCTCCACGTATTTAATAATTAATTCCGTTCCTGCGCCGTTTATGCGCTGAATCCGGTACGGAGGTGGCGGGGGTGCGAACGTGGGACGATAAGCTGATTCGGAGGGGTCAAAGTTTTCTTCGTTGTCTGCGTTTCACTCCGTGAACGTGGATGAGAGAGAGATAGAGAGGGAAGCGACCGAGGAAGTTTGTTCCCTGTTGCGATTTAATTAAGACGCCAACGGCCCCGTGAAAAGTGAAAAAATGTAACTGAATTTCGCTGGTTTAGGAATAAACAGGTTACGTGTCAGTATACTGGAGGCCAATAAAGAATTTGCACAGTTAAGAAATCGTCACGTTCAGGGTAGATTTTAAGCAATAATCGATGGTGATTGCATAATTAACTGGGATTTATTACACGATGGTATACTTGGAAATGAATTATAAGTTAAAGAATCGGAAATCATTCATGAATGAATCCAGTAAAACTTTTTATAATGTCTTGTATACTTCAGTCCAGAGTGACCGAATAACTTTATGTGTCGATACGAATTGACGCTGTATCGTTACAGAAAAAACGCCTGACGAAGAGCAGGAACCAAGTCAAGAAACACTTCGCGAAGTAACAGATAGTTCAAGCGTCTACGTCAGCGCAATAGGAATCGGGGACGAAATGGATGACGATAAAAATGCTCGAGATAAACCAACCGAATCCGAAGTCACATTAACACAAGGTGGATCTACTTCTATAATTTTACAATCTGAGGGTATGTTATGTTTTCCCAATTTCAAGAGCAATGATTTTATTTAGAAGAAAAAGAGACGTTGATGACTTGGCCCATTGGAATGCCGTGGCAGCATTTAGGGGAGAAGGTAGAAATTGAAGAGGAGGAAATCGAAGTAAGAATTACTTCTGGAACAAAATTCATATATACAATTTATTTCATTTATTACTTTACTGAATTTTCTTTTAAGAATTCGACTTTACGTATATTTTCATATTTAACTCTTTGACTGTGAAGGGTATATATACGCTCTCGAGAAATGACCTCCGAGAAATGTTTGTATTCGTTAAATCAGTTTTTAAACAATATCAACTTATAGGGGACGATGAGACGAAACTTTTTTATATGTACAGTTTATTCATAGGATGCTTAGTTATGAAAATAAAAATTAAAAAGTTAGAAGTTCGTTAAAAAAATTGAATTTCAGGAATAAGGTCTTCTAAGTTTATAATTCTTATCTCTGGAAGTAAACGTCCTATGAATAAATTGTAAATATAAAACAGTTTCGTCTTATCATCCCCTGTGAGGTGATATTTTTTACTATTTCTATAAATAAGTAATTGTCAACCAACGATGCTTTCATTTTCACCATTCCAAATGTAATCGAATTCAGAGAAAAAAGGTCTTCTAGGTTTTAAATTTTTATTTTGAAAACTAGACACCTTATGAATAAACTGTAATTATAAAGAAGTTACGTCTTATCATTCCCAATAAACTGATATCTTTTTAAATTCAGACATCTACCCCACTTAGAATTTCCAGTAAAAATCATCCCGCAGTTAAAGAGTTAGTGAATGTTCGAAAAGTCCACCTTATCTACCTCAATATTAACAAATTACACTCTCCTGATGGAATGAGATATACCAAAAATGTAAATACTAAAACAGTTTAAATGTCGTTCACGTTTGACCTGGGAATGGGAAAACATTACCGTTTACATGCGGCGTGTCGCAATAAAAGTAACGGTGTCTTTCAGAAGCTTCCTATGCCAAGAAACGAGGAGGAGATGCGAGCATTCTTCAAGGAGTTCACGCACGAGGCGACCGTTTACAGGTCCTACTACAAGCATTGGAGGGAAACGGCGGACCAGGTAACGATTCCACCGCACACTTTACTTTATATGTCCGCTCTGAATGCCGTCGAGCATTTTTGTGTCGCAGGCGACGAAGGTAATGGGAGGTCGGTACGTGATGGCCACGTTCATCGTGCAAGGAAAGGGCAAGCGAGTGGAGAAAAAGGTGCCTGTTAAACGACGATCGCGACCTAAGAAGACCACGAAGAGAAGATCACCTGTGAAGAAGACTTCGAGAAAAGCTAAAAAGCCTAAAGGTCCTGCGACGGATGGCGAATCACCGAATGACGCTGGAGAATCTACGACGCAGCCTGTGGAGAAGGAGACACCTGCAGAGGATTCTATAGAAACGGAGAATGACGAGGAGCTCGTCACACCGGCTCCATCAGAAACACCCACGGTCATCGAAGTTGCGCCCGAGCCTTTGGAGCCGAATACGGAGGAGGGACCTTCGAACGGGACGAAGGAGTCAATAGTTGCGGTAACCGTGCTTTCATTACGATTCGGAGGACCACTTGTGTGGTATCGTGGAATTCTACGTTGGGCTTCCCGCGTGATTTGATTTGGGGAGGAACTGGAGGTTCTTAGGTGTTCCACTGATTTAGGGAACTCGAGGGCTTTCGTGATTTGACTGATTGGTAGATATCTGCGGTGGATAGTAGAAAGGGATCAAGTCGACTTTGTGTTGCAACGAAGAGAATTACGTGGAAGCAAATTAATATTTTTAAACAACGAAATATTATCTAAACAATGAATATTTCTATCAAACATTTTTAATGAGTATTTTTAAACAATAACGTATATAATGTATTATCATATATATTTCATGTTTTATTATTGCATATATATTTTATATATTTTATATATATAACAATGATAATGAAAATATATGAAACAATAAATCATATAACATATATAAAATATATGAAAATATGTATGTCATTTGTTTAAAAATATTCATGAAAAATATTTAACAGAAATATTCATTCAATGTTTGTAATTCTTTAAAAATATCGTTTCTTGTACGAAGTGGAAAGAGTCTGTAGTGTATGGACAAGTAGAAATACATGAGGTACACGTTCCTATCAGACCTGGGCACTTTTGAAATAACATTACTTGAGATATTATGTCAAATAACGTACCATTTAGTTTTACAATTACTTGAAAATAACTACTATGTTTATTTTCAAATGACCGTCTCGAAAATAACAGTACGAAATAAATGATTTCAAATACTTATATTCCATTATCAATTCAATTAAAATTTGCCCAGGTCTCCTTCCTATAATATAGAACGTTTTCAGTAGTAGAGGAAGGCCTAGCAACAATTTTTACATCTCGCTGTAGCTGCGCCAATAGAGTGCAAACTGCAACGTTTCCTGCAAGTGGAAAGAGCCCGAAATGGTCAGACGTCCAGAAATAGAGCGTTCCTATGACACGGAACGTTCGCACTGCAAGAAGACCTAGCAACAATTTTTGTCGATCGCTTTATAAATACGCGGTCGAGGTGACCTTTCGTCTAAGTCCATTCGATGCACGAGTGGACAGGAATTCGTTGTTTCCCTCGTTTTTTAATCACGATACGGAGATATCCGCAGTCCGCGGTTCGTTAAAGGAGCAATTTGTTTCGTCTCGGGGTGGGGGGGGGGGAGGCGTCGCGATAAAAACGAATACAGCGTCGCTGGTTTAATCAGCAGGCTTGCCAGGCTAATTGGTGTAATTAAACATTTTATCGCGGATGATACAGAGTCGAGTATTTATTAAATCCGAGGAAAACTTTTCTCCTCAGTGGCGCTGTTCGCGCTGGTTAACGGGGTTTGATAAATATCGAATCGACGGTTACGTATTTTTCGAAATTTCTCTCCTTCTCTCGGTTCACCGATCTTCTCTGATAACTTCGGCGGTCATTATCGGAGCAAGAAGTCGACACCGATAAACGACTCGTTTGTTCGTCTATTTTTCGAATGATTTCGTTCCTCGGTCTGCGGGAACGTAATCGATTTATCATCATCGTCGTCATTAAGAACGATTTAACTCTTAGCTCCGCGTCTTCGTTCGGTATCGACGTTTTATCATCGGCTACCGACGACGTGATGTTTGACTGATATTGAAACCGAAGATTAATGAACGATGATTGTCGAAAATGAGAAACGAAGGGATGAAGAACTCGCGAGATTAAATTCTGCCGCAAACATTCGCCTGATAATTGGTGTTCGATGATCCCTCCCCGAGTGAATTCGAAAAGCATTAACCTATTTCTGTTTCTCAGATTTCTTTGTAACTTGTGTATGACGTTTGGGAGAATTAGACGTGTTCTCTGTTTAGGTGGTAATCGAATTGATAGACCAATTAGTATTGCAAGGGATCGCTTGGCGTTATTCAATGTCAACGATTCTTTACGGTTTAACAAAATATTTGACTAAATGTAGAATGAGAAGTGTTTCGAAGTGTGTTAACATTTTAAGAGGAAATTTTTATTGGGGTGGAATATATGAAACGAAGAAAAAGCAGGGAGTACATTTGTTGAAATATTACTCATAAGATGGTGGCAAAAGTGTACACTGTGTAATATGTAATAAAACACATCTGGCCAGTAATGTTGAAATTAAATTTCAGGCTTGGGAATGTGTTCCTTTAGATTTATGTTTTCCAATATCGTTTTTAATTCGTTTCCATACTTCATATCTAACCTTACAGTGCTTTTATTCGAACAGAAAAAAAGGAATATAGGTACTGAAAACGTTAGAGAAGGTAAATTAGCGTTTATGTCAGTAATTTCTTAAAAAATAAATCCCTTATTTTTTTCTTTTTAAGGAAATCTTTCATGTGCAATGTTAAAGTTGCTTGAATCACGTGCCTTGTTTTCTAGTTTTATCAATATATTTGATTAAAATGAAGAGGCTACTTTAATTGCTCATTTTGTAATTATTATAACTCTTACAGAAACCGGACGACGAGTGGCAGGAAGTCACAGATTTAGTTAAAGACTGCGCACGCGCCGCCGAACCCATACCTTATTTCTTCTACTTGAAGGCAGAACCTGACATTGAGATAGCTATAGAGCACGACGACGAAGTGGTCATCCCGGCCGATACCGATCGCGAAACCATCGTTGGCAATTATAAACGTGTCTGGTTTAATCTTGCTGAAAAACCCCTAAAGGGTGGAAAACCGTACATATAAGAAACAGTGAGAAGTAAAATAAAAATTGCTAGATACCCGATAAGCAGTTTCATCATGTAACAAAAACAATAAAGCAAATAACTAGTCTGAAGCAAACATTAATATAAATATATAAATATGTTAAAAGCTTCAAAATTATCTCGTTTTTGAGGCAAAATATATCAACACGCTTCCATATTTATGTTTCACTTTCATCTGAAGTTTATTTCGTATAAATTTTTTCTTCCGATTGGAATTATTATTCTCAACAACCAATTTTATCATTAAATTCACAAACGAACACGGCGCATGAGTTTCAAGACGTTTCCTCGCAGTCAAGCAGCTACTTTCTGCGAGCTTTAAGCGAATAAAATTGCATGGGAATGTGGCCGTGAATAGGAAGGAAGATAATTGGCGAATATTTTTGGTTCGACGTGCACGAAATTACCCTCAACTAGCCGGAGACGTTCTAAGAATAACAAACGCGGGGCGAATTAAAAGATAATAAACCGATGTCGCAAATATTTACCAGATCCTTCCGTTAACAACGACGATGGGTTTATTGTCGTGATAAGGATAATTAGTGTCATCATGAGTCGCTTTGCGTCATTTTTTATATTGTTACATATCAGGAGGGTGTAAAATTTTGAAGAATTAAATGACTGAATATTGAAAACAACATACAATGACCACTTGCATAAATTATGACACTTGGACAACGATAAACGTGTTGCCACGTATTAAAAAGCAAAAATATTGAAATAGTTATATGATTGCATATCGAAACGTGTTTTGGGAAACCACATACTTCAACTACAAATATTATTAATCAACAGAAGCAACCAAATGTTCGCGTACCACATACGTCTAAACACTATGACTGATCGCAAAGTGACAAGGGGTTAAGGAACATGGAAATGCTTAAGTAAGAGAAGCAGTTAATCGAAATCGAAGTAAGGTTTCTTGATATTGTTAGACATGGGGTCACAGCTTTGACGTTTCGTAATAAGCCGCTGATCGCACTGGCAAATACACCGACGGTTCTGTCGGATGACTCCGACAGAAACCATCGTCTTTGATGTCGGATGCAGATATTAGGCGGAACCTAAATGCACGTGGCTGAGTTCGTTCCGAGCAGAGGGTTGAATGGTGGAAGATACCTGTCGTCTGATGGGTAAATATATTTATGTACTTATTTATTAGGTCACGGGTTCTCGCATTCGAACCTACTCACTCCAGTACAAATTAGCGCGCGCGTGAAAAAATACAGAGAATGTTATGTATGCTATTAAAATATTGTATTCATTCACTAATTCAACAGTATACATTCTGCTTAATTTACATTACTGCGCAAAGTATACTAGTCAGTCTTGTGCCACACAAAAATATTTTAATATTTGTAATTTTTAAATATTTAAATAAAAATATCCCTCTAACTACTTCCGACGAAATTTTTCATATTTTCCACACAAAAAATCCTATTTGAACGAAACCTCGCCGAAATGCTGTTTAAAGTACGTACTTTTATTACGGGTATTAAAACTTTTCCAGTGGCTGTTCGGTATCATCACCAAAAATTCTAAAACATCAGCCCCTCTTCTGCACTCCCACAGGACTCGTCTAATCCGAGTCGTTGAAAAAAAGAAAACGAACTCGAGGAATTAGTGTTAATCGCGAGAGATGTTTTGCGTTCCATGCGCCGTCTTTCGACTCGTTAAAAGATTCAAAGAACCGGAAGAACGCCGCGGATGCTTCCCGTCGGTGGAGGTTCGCGTCGATGCAACGAATGTTTTTTTTCCTTTCCAGCGGAGGTCCTCCGCCGTATTTACATCTCATTAATTTTAACGACTATCGACCCCTCGACGAGGATGAGCCCGAGTCGCGGGAGGGGGGAAGGGGGTCGCTTTTTCGAGGCATGATTTTCGAAACAAATTTCCTGAGCGTACATGAACGAGAGGGTGGGAGCGCGACGGGCCGATTTAAAAAGCTGTCGACACACGGCGGCTAATAAAGCTCAAAGGATCTGTTTACCAGGCAGAATATTACTAGTACGCGGCATGAACGAATGTACACGGAACGCTCTTATCTGGCGACGCCATTAAGGGGCTGTTCTGGTACGAACGACTGAAAAATAGACGATCTTCTAGAATTTTTTTTTTGGAGAGAAAGGAACATTAAAAGAAGACTTTCCCGTAACATTAAGTAATGCTAAAAGTACTTATTTGTTGTTTTTTTTTTTCATTGATAGTTGTTTTAGAACAAACACCGAACATTGGACTCGATGAAACGTTGATAGTAATAAATAAATGAATTGTTATTGAATTACATTTTTTAATTACTTCGAATAGTATGTTTGTTTTCGGAACTTTTATGAAAAATGACCAATAAGTTTATATTTGAAACACTTAAAATAATATTACAAAAATAGTTTAAGTAAAGAAAGTAGCTTCATATTTACCGAGTTGATATATAAGGAAATAATTGAGATAAAAATTTGAAACTCTTAGGGCTTGTTAGTATTAGCATAAGTAATAAGTCTGTCAAATTTTAAATCGTTTCATCAATCTTTTACCGGAGTTATAAAAACAAAAGTAACCAATTGAAGAAATTGCATGTATTTTCCACTTAAAATTTTCTTAGGTTTGAGCCACTTGTCAATGTTACAATTGACCACTTAAATTTTACTGGAATTTTCTTTTATGTATTTACACAATGTTTAAAGAGTGCGTAGTATAATAGTTATAAACCACCTCAAAATCAACCTTCAACTTTCAAAATTTGCGAGATACACATTTTCTACGATACATTCATGCTTGGTACATTGATTTTCGATCCAAAAATTCCGTCCCGTCTTTTCAGCGAACATCAGCGTGAACGCTGTCAAAACTATTTTCCACGGGTGGTAAATCACCCTTGTCCTCTTATCTTACCGTAACCAGCAGTTTGTTTACGATAAACCTACCACCCAGGTGGCGCGCACAACATTTCATTTCCCATTCGACGTTCGCTAGTAGGAGAGTTATCGGTGCCCAAAATCGAAGATTTCTCGATCGGAAATGATTTCTCGAGATGGGGGAGGGATCCATCTGGAGACTATAAATCACGGGGAACTGGAGAGCTCAGGTATACACACGACAGTCCAACACCGTACGGGGACTGCTATGTGTTATACAGGACCGGCTGTAAATCACACTTCATACCGATACGGTTAATATAGAGTGGTCTGGCTCCGTTGTCTATGAAAAGAGAATGCTGGACGTTTCGTACGCTCGCGAACGTCCGACTGATCGATACGTCTGGATTAAAAATTATTCTCCAGGCTGGCTGGCAACGTTTGAAATAATAAATCACGGCTGCGTCTCGATAGCTGAGAAATCCACGGATCCTGGCCACTTCATCCCTCTTCCTCACCTGGGATTAAGAGAGAACGGTGGAACGTCGATTATTCGATCTAATAGGAAGACAAATCCTTTGCTACGATCGATTTTTCGAGTGGTCACGACAAAAACCAGAGATACAACTATCTTCTCTGAGACAAATGCTTGTAGACCTTATTAGGGAAAGGGTAGGTTAAGGTAGAAAAGGGTAGGTTAGAGTAAGTGTCTTTGATAATATTTAAGTACTAGGGTCATTCAAACATAATCCAGAATATTTTTCTATTATGACCAAGACAGAAATCTAAAATAATTCCATTGTAATTCCATTTGAAATATCAATCAAGTCGTTACGTTTGAAAACTTGCACAATTATATCAGAATAGTAGAAAGCACTGCACCACAGTGGTAAATGAAAATCAACGACGGATACATATTCACTGAGAATCGCTCCATTCGAGGCTTGAAACACCCTGGCTGCCTTCAGTCAATGAATACGTCCGCGTTCGCAATTACTTCGTTTACTCGGGAACTTTTCGACGTCAAAGGCTAGCGGTGGAACAATTTTTCGGTCCGCTCGTTACAGGCTCGTCTATTTCACGGGTCTAAAAGCGAACGACTGTTAATACGATCCGACCTCTCAGAGCGTGAGATGATTTATTGTTTCAATCGGAGAACGAAACACAGCGAAAGCAGTTTTGAATCTAGGCTTATCGATCATTGTCGACGGCTACACGAGGCGGACTCTCAGGAACGATGGAATCGGTCGGTCATATGTTAACCGCGTTTGGACGACGACTGACTTTCAATCGAGTTTCGTTATGTTAGTGTGCATACTAAAATTATCGAATGGTTCTCGTGGTGTAGTTAAGGGAAGCCACATGAGGATGCCGAATATTAAGTATTTTTCAGGATATTTGTTTTTTTTAGAAAGAAGAATTCATTTAATGCATTGAACTTTAAGAATATTTTAGATATGCTTTGAAGTACATTTGGTAATTTTTTTCAATTTACTTCGTTGGGAATCTTTGATATCATGTGTGATCGACCTTGTTATAGTTTATGGTACGCGTTATTGGAAATTAAATTGTAAGGCAAAGGAGTAATATACAATATTTAAAATAATATTTTGCCCAGCTTTAAGCGATGTAACTCCATCAGTATGCTGTCGTTTCGAAAGGGAATACAAGGCTGGGGTCAGACTCTCTGCTACAAAATTGTTAATACTCGCTGTATCATAAAATACGTACCATATGTATCATAAAAGAGTATCATAAAATACGAGCGAGGGACTTCCTCGGAACACTTGTTAGCTTTGATAGAGTTTGCGGTGGATCAAACAATGCCCTGGAATTTTCAGGCTTCGCCACGACTCGCGGAGACGTGAAATTGCCGCGATATCGCGCGACAGAAGTTCCCTGGACTCAAAGCGATGCGCTCGTTAAACGGTTACCGCGGCTGAAATAAATAAGTGCAATTTATTAACATGCCGTGGCACGAGAGGATCGCACGTGGCGACTACACGCGCCGAGACACCGCGAATTTTCACCCCCGCGTTCCGGCTTCTGCAGCGGAAAGACGAGAAAAAAGGATGATAATTTCGTTATCTCGTGCTAAATGGGCCGATAGCAATCTCTTTCGAGGCGTTGAACTTTATTATTCGTTGGGCCTACACGGAGGTAACGAACGCGAAATAGACGACGATCAGAGTGAAAAGCCAGGCATTATACTTTAACAGAGGACTTTGGTCTTTATTTTTAGCGGAATATGTTAGGTTTTCATTTATGTATTTATATCAACGTTTTCGTTACATTGACGTCCATTCATTCCCAGGCAAATTTAAAGTGTTTTGCCTTGGGCGTCATTTTGATAATAGAAAGTGATATCAAATTTGTTGCCCCTTTGATTGGTTATTTTAAATGTCTTTAATATCCAGTTTAAATATGAACGAATAATCTGGAAAGATGGACACCTTTATATATTTACTTTTACTATTATGTTTAACGTACCACTCATTACCGTAATTAATGCTGCAACTGCTTTAGTCATAACTGAAGCTAAACTGTATTTCAATTGTTTTCTTATAATACTTCATTATGGAGAATGGACAATTACTTCTAGCCCGTTTCGAGCCAAGGTATCACGGTAACGAGAAACTTGAATTCGTCTTTTAAGGAAAAAAAAAATCACACCATCGAAAAATATCAGAAAATTGCATCTATCCGAGAACTCTGAACATTACTGAATAATGGAAGATTATGAGAAATTATAATCTACGTGGTCGGTGTAGGCGGCGAAAGATTATGATATTAAAACTTGTAAGACGAGAGTCGCTTGAAAACTTCCACTACCGATTAAGTTTTTAGCAAACATTTTCTTCTCTATTTTATGTATGGCCCACGGTCGAGAGTTTTATGGAAATCGATTAAACGATTTGATTCGAAGGTGATCGAACACACTTTCTGCCAAAAATTATTGTTAAAAGTATTGTTATTGCAAGGTTTTGGCTTTCAAACGATTGAATGTAAAAGCATAGAAATAATGTTCATATCTAATATATGTATTATGCTATTCCTAATTATTACGGAATACATTTACCATATATATTATATATGTGATAGAAAACTATCCATTATCTTGAAAAATTTCTAAACAAACCTGTAGAAGATCAAAAGATATGTACAATAAAATAATTTTTTGGTAAAAAAATTTAACCAGCTTCAAAAAGGTACGGTGAAAAGTATGAAATAATTTCTAGTTAATGTATATGAACCTGCATTATCGACCGAGCACTCTACATTATCGATAGAGTAACCGACGTTATCGACCGAGCACTCTGCATTACCGACCGATCACTCAACATTACCGACCGAGCACTCTACATTACCGACATAGCGATCTGCATTACCGACAGAGCGATCTGCATTACCGACCGAGTACTATACATTACCGACCGAGTACTCTACATTACCGACCGAGTACCCTACATTACCGACAGAGCGATCTGCA